CCCCAAAACCCCAAAACCCCAAAACCCCGTAGTATTTAAGAGAAGTAGAATTAATACAAATATAGTAGAAATGGAAGAAATAAAGGAGGAGGTGCTGGATGGGTTTGAACCAATTGATGAAGACCACCTCAGTTTGAAAGAAGAAATCTTAGAATTCCTCTCCCAAGACGTTAATTTACAAGGAATGGAGGAGATGGATGGGGATAGAAGAGCTAAAATGATTTATTTAAGCTCTTTTCAGAGATGATTGCAGGCGATTGATAAATATGTAGCTGAAGAGAGAAGAGATAAAATTGATGAATGAAATACACTTTGAGAGCAGTCTAGAATAGAAATTGAGCAGCAGGCGGGGAAGTTAAAAAATCCAAGGCTTATACTAGATATGTTAGAACTGAAAAAGATTGAAAATAATATAGATAAGCTTTGGAATGAGCTTAGAACTAAAAATCTTTACAAAGAGTTTATCGATTACAGAGTTTATAGCCAATTTGTTAATCGAGATGATGATATTATGAACAAGTATAAGGCAATGTTGAAGAAGAAAGATAATGATGTTCGCAATTGAAGAATAAAGTTAATGAAAATATTAAACAAAGTTGGTCATCTAAGCAAAGCCAATGTCAAAGATAGTGATTTAGAAGATATAAGACGTTTGGCAGGAGAAAGAGAGAAGAGAGTTCCTGGGCTTTATGAGAATAATACAAATCAAGCTTCAGTAAAGAGTAGGCTTGGTTTTGCTATTCCGGAACCTCAAGTGCAATCGTTAAGAGATAATAGTTCTATTATTGGACCAAGCCTCAGAAGACAAAGGAAGCATAAAGAAAAGCATCAAGATATTATAGAATTAGACTCTAATGATGGAAACAGTCCAATATTTAAAACAATTCAAAGAAATAAAAATCAAATCCAAAGTACAGGGATTACTTCTAACATGGATCGTCTCCAAGTGCAGGCCAAAAGTGAAGGAAGAAGTTTTGTCAATGCCTCTCGATCAAGAAGAAATCAAAATGGATCAAAACAAGAAATAGAGAAAGCCAAATCAAAATATTTTACCAAAACTGAGAATATATATAATAAAGAATTAAATGGTCAAGTCTCTAAAGAAGAGGATTTAAATCATACCCAATATTACAATTTCCCAAGCTCAAAATCTAGTGGTTCCTCTTCGGTGCTAACAATGTTAACTCCAGAAAATCCAATGATTCATTTCCCCAAACTGCCTGATATCTCTTCACCTAAAAACAACAGCATGGTAATTTAATTTAATCCACATTTAGAGTATGGGACAAGAAGTCCATCACATAAGTTCCAAATTAAATCAAATACCCAAAGATGGCAGGAGCCAAGAGCCTATTGAAGAGTGTAAAGAAGAGTCTAAGTCGGACATATACATGGACGATAGAAGCCAACACTTTGATGACAACATAAGTTATCCTCTAGAAGGCTCTTCCGTGATGCACGACTTATCTAATGAGGAAGATCTAGAATTTATCCAGAATTGCACAAGAAAGCTACCTAATTTGCAAACCATTGGATTCTGTATCAGTGACAAGATTCCTGAGTGCTTATTAAGTTTCTTGGCAAACTATTTCCCTGATGAAGTGCAATACTGTAAATTTTATTGACCGGTGAGTTCTAAATATTTGGAATTTAATATTTCAAAAGAAATATGACTTATAAGTTGTAAAGTTCTCAAAACATTTGAATTTAGTTGATTTAAAATCACTCAAATTGAACTCGAATGGTTTATCTCTGAATGTACAATTACGCATGAAATTATATTCAGCCATTGCCTATTTGATATACCAGATCCCTCAAACCTCTTCGGTTGGTGAACAAGCCCAAATATAGGGAAATTGGTTTTTGATAGATGCCAAGTCAGTTTAGTTGAAAATCCTTATGATTCTCCAAAGTTCATAAGCTTTGAAGAGATCCTAAAATCTAAAACAATTTCTGATGCTTTCAAAAATCTAATAGTTTGCTCTCAAACTTCTCAACACATTTGATAAAATTATGATTAAAAATTTAAAAGTTAAAATAAGTACTTCAACTCTAAATTTCCATTATGGGGTTTTGGGGTTTTGGGGTTTTGGGGTTTTGGGGTTTTGGGGTTTTGGGG